TTATAAGAGATGCAGTTATGCAAACGGAAGTCACTTTGGCTTCAAATCAAAAACGACATCCGAGAATCGAATGACGAAAAAGGACTCATGTCGTTTCGAGGTCGAGTTCGCCTAATCATTCACTTCAGTAAGGCCACTGGATGGACGGCCCGCTTTTCCAATGTCCATCAATATATAATATTGTTGGCAACCTTTAAAAAAAACTTTATTTTATATAGCACGGACTTATAGTTAGACTTTATTACTTATTTTCCGTTTAAATTGATAAACATTTTCACTTCGAGAAAACGAAGTGAGAAAGTTACATAAACGAGCTACAGAATACATATCGAACTGTATTTAGTTAAAATTTATAAAAGGAATGTATAACTTCTTTCTTTCTCTATTTTTCACCTATGAAACAAAATAGAAAACCACTATGTTTAAACTATACATATAGCAAATATATCATAAAAATCCATTCAACTCAATATAATAGACATTCCTTACTTCCTTGCCTATTATACATCGTCAATTTCTGTAGTAGACAATGTATTCGATCTCGTGACTCTAATTAGCTTCTTCCACATTTTATTCCCAAAAGTCCTTGCTCCAATTTTTTTCTGATAATAAGATGAGCCTTTCTTGATTCAATTTTTGTAGTAGTCGACTTAATTCATATAGTGCTGCTAATAAGCTGCTCTTACATTTTATAGCCAATAATCCTTATTCTAATTTTTCTTCGATAATAAGATTAGGCATACAAGTCAAGCATTTACTTTTGGAAAAATAAACTATCAATTACCGATTTAAGCATTAATGGCAGCCCTATATAATACGAAGTCTTTTATATTACATTTTTGATTCTGTGCACACCCAACTAAAACGCACAAAACGTTCGGAAATATTGAACCCAAATACAGACTGGTTATTGTTTTTTTCATATTTATGAGTTTCACAAAATTTCCATTTGCAGTTGCATTCATTTCCCCACGCGTTCCGAGCTTAGTATATTTTTCTTACAATTTTTTCATTTGAAAAGGTTTTACACCATGATACACCAAGCATAGTAATTTGCATATATATTATTCCAGAGATCTCTAAATAAGAGTGTGAACTCAATCATCATATGTTTACATTCTATGGTATCAATCGTTTCTTTTTTGCTTGGCCATATGGACATTACATAGCTAACATATTTTCAGAATTTCAATACATTGTAAATAAAGTACTGCATAAAAAGTGCTGTACAGAACTAGAAAAAGTACATTGAATACATTTAGATATTTGCAAATAAAAATAATATCATTGCAAATTGTTTCAAAAGCACGTAAAAAGCATATCCAAGAATTACAATTTGTCACGATTTCTGCTGCCTTATTTGCTTAGTTTAGTGCTTGTGTCGGAAAAATTTAAAAATGTTCAGATACAAGTTTTATTTGTTTATATTAAAAGAGATAAAAATAGA